GTTCCTGTTTAACCAGCAGCCTCTGGCGCTCCGCTTCCTCTTCCACCATTGCAGGCGCCCATTGGTGTGACCCCACGTTGTCCCGACCCTGCCGAGCGCCTCGGCTGTCCGGTTATTGACCCAGGGCACCGGGGAACGCGGTTATCACCCGTGCCAACGCGCCTGCGTGTCCCCAGGGCTTGGGAAAGCAGGGCACCCGTGCTGGCTGACACTTGCCCAGCCATCCCCTTGGCAGCCTGGAGGTGGTTTGTGGTGCCAGAGGTCCCCATGGTGCCATGCAGGGTCCAGGACATGTCCTCATGTTCCCTCGGCAGCAGTGGCTGGGTGGGAGGTGATGCCGTGTGTCCTGCACACCCAGCCCTGTGCACTCAGACACCCCTTGCACACCCCTTGCACAAGCACAGCCCCCCATGCACACACAACCGTGCGTGCAGCACTGTGCAGAGGGCAGCCACAGCCCTGGGTGCTCCCAGCCCCACAGGGTGCACAGGACCTATGGAGGACCCTCCACCCAGCAACCCTGTGCCGCACAGGATTCACCAGCATTGCCTACTGCTGAAGAAACACATCGGCTCCTACGGCATCTGCTGCATCTGCCTCTTCATGATGGTCACTGCAGAGGTCCTGGTATCCTCCCTCCTCTACCTGGTGCTCATGCCTCCGTTGTCCATCACCACAGCAATGATCTGCACGTATCCTTGGCCCAGGGAGGCAGAGCTGTGCCCCAGCACGCACCCACACGTGCTGCACCGCCCAGGCTGTCACGTGCAGGAGCCTGTTCCGCTGCCTACACGTAGCCCCAGGGACAGCACCAGCTATGGGTACCCACTACACGGGAGCAATTGGTGGTCCCCTTGCCCAGCACACCTGTGTCTGTCCCTGACTCACTGCTCCAGCATCATGGTGACTGTTCTCACCACCATCTACCTGAGCCTGATTGAGCCCTGGCTCCCCTGTGTCCCCCAAGCACAGCACACCCTGAGGTTCCAGGTATGACTGTGGGGCATGGAGCATCCCACCAGCCCAAGAAGGGGATGCAGGACATCCTGGACCCCAAGCCCAGAGCAGGGGGGCAGCCCTACGTCTCAATGCTCTGCATGAGTTGGTCTCACCATGATTGCACACGTCTGCACAAGGGGCTCCATCGCTGCACACACTCCCCTCTCCAGCCCCTCTTGGTGCTGGATGCACCGGTGACACCCGGCAGCACTGACCCACCTCCACCTGCACCAAGACTCCAGCCGCATCACTGTGCCCAAGCCCACCTCATCCCACCTTATGGGTGGCCGGGCCGTGTCCGTCACACCGTCCTGCTGCAGACGGCGTGCTATCGGGCTGGGTGTCACCACCCCAGAGCTGCCCCCTGGGGACACGGAGGGCTCTCAGCCCTGCAGCCCACGGCCCTGAGCCCTCCGTGCGCTGGCAGGACGGTACATGTCTGCAACTTGCTTGCTTCAACATGCCTGAGGAGCTGGCGGAGATGGGTGTGGAGAGGGGAAATGTGGTGGGATGGGGTGGCCCAGGGTCCTCCCAACTTCTCCCCTTATTCCAGCCCTATCCACACTTGGGCTGAGTGGTCCTGGGGCCACCAGGGTCCACGGCCACCCTTCTACCCTGGTCACTCTTCTCCTCACAAAAAAAAAAGCTGGCAGGACAGACAGGGGCCAAAAGCAGGTGAGCACCCCCTGGCACGGGCAGGATGGGGGATGGGGCACACAAGGCTCCGGGCAAACCCCAACAGCTCCACCTCAGCTCCAAGATGCTCCAGGGCAGAGCAGCACCAGGCACAAGGAGCCCCTTTCCTGCCAAAAACCCCTTCAAGAGAGAAGAAAAATGAGACAGGAGTTGTGCACCCACCTGCCCAGGGCAGGGGTGGTTTGAAGGCTCATGCACCCTCAGCGTCGGGGTGGCTTTTTTGTCCCAAGGAGCTGGCAGTGGGGCCAGCAGCAGCACTGGAAAATCTGCCCATTGCCTTGGTTAGCTTTGCTATTTTAAACAAAACTGTTTGACCATTGAAATCCTGGCGAAATTCAAAAGCCAGCAGACCCTCGCCCACGCTGCTGCTTTGTCAGCGTTCCCCAATACTTGGAAAAGTGCTTGAAATGCACATATTTGCATGGGTTTTTAGACAATTTTTCCACCTGTGTCTAATTCCCTGTGGTTATGGCTGGAGGAGCTGACCCCAGAGGGCACAGCGGGCTCCCAGCCCATCATCGCCAGCTTCCCTATGGCCAGGAAAATCCTCAATCCTCTGTTCAAAGCCCTGGTAGGAGGCCAAAACGTGTTCCTCCCCACACCCCCCTCTCCCACCCAGAGCCTGGGTGGGAGTGGATGGTGGGGACATCGAGGAGTGAGAAGCTCACGCCCAGCTCAGGCTGTGGTCCAGCCGGACACACGGACAGCAAAGATCTTCACCTCGAGCTTTTGGTGATCCATAGCCACCACTGTCCCAGGACACAGAGGGACGGACCCTGCTCAGCGGAACAGAGTGTCCAGGCTGCCCCCTCTCCCAAGGGACATCCCTCGCTCTGCCCAGTTGCTGTGCCAGGCAGGATCAGTACCCCGAGTGCAATAGGACCCTGTGGTGTGGGGGGATGCCTGGCACCCACCTCTGGGGAAACCATGCTCCATGGGCACCTCAGGGTAGGGATGCCCATGCTCTGCATGACCACAGATGACCCTGGTACTCCCCCACCCCAGGGGTTTAGGGGAGAGGCAGCATCCCTGCCCTTTCCCAGCAGCACCCCGCTGAGTCGCTGGAAGCAGGAGGGTGGGTGCGATGCAAGAGAAACAAATAAAACATGGAGGTCAACCAGACTTGTGAAAGGGACAGGAAAGCCTTTCCCAGGGTGCTGGCCCCATCTGGCCCCCCCCAGGCTTCGCCCCAGTGAGGAAACCACTGCTGAGAGTTTGGTGGAAGTGGACGAGGGGGCCAGATCCTGCTGGCGGTT